TATCCAACAGAAAGCAATAGTCTTGTTGTTTTTTTTTTTTCGTGCATTCTTTAGCTGTCTGTAATCCTGAAAGCCGGTGAACGATGGTTAGACAGAGCTTAGCTTTCACTTTAACAATTTGTTATCTTCTGTACGCTAAGAATGCCTAACCGCCCCCTTAATGCCGACTAATAACGTTGCGGTTGTGTGTATGTGTGTGTGTTACGGAGGATACTTCAGAGCTATAGGTTGTTGTATGGATAACACGAACCCAACAATACGACTAGGATAGACTGCAGCAGCAGCAGCAGCAGCGTCATCATCATCATCATCATCATCATCGTCATCATCGGCATCATCGGCATTATTAGCATCATTATTATCGTCGGCATCATCATCACCATCGTCTTTCTTCGTTTATCTTGTCGATGAATTTCTCTATTATCCATAGTATTATCTTTATCTGCAAGAAGTTTTTAGTGTACTTACGTTACCCTCAGTGCTCTGGTTGCTCACCTAATCAAGTTTTCTATTTTCCAAGAATACTTCCGAGATTTTTGTGACATTCTTTTCAAAACTCCACCTATCTTCAGGATTACGTTGTAGTTAAGAGAAAAAAATTTGGATGGTTACGAAGAAGATTGTAAGAGAGAATAAAAGGGATAAAAACTATTGGAAAATTTTAGTGATGGTGAAGCAAAGAAAAAAAAAAAGGGCGACAAAGATTATTTGTTGGTTAGGATGACAAGAAAAAATTCTGAAAAAACTACTACCACTACTATTACAGGTGTATAGAAAGCGACGGAAACCGGTTGAATGATTTGATTTGTTTGACAATGTATACGGTGGTAGAAATGTTGAAGATAGGAGCCGATGAAAAAATGACAAATATCTGTAGTGCTGAAAGACGGTAGTACTTAAGTGACGAAGTAAAAAATGGAAAGAAAAAATTTATAAAAAAAAACTATTCAAGGAAGTAAATAAGGTGACTGAAAGAAAAAAGCGATGATAACGATAAGGTTGATGATGGTGATAGTGACAATTAGATAAATGTTTGCAGAAAATAACACTGATGAAAATTTCCAGTAAATTTTTTTTCTACTTTTTAACAGTTTTTTTATCAGCTTTTGGGATTTTAAGTACTTATCATTTTGACGTCTATAGTTTGCTCGGCAATATTTTTTTTTTTCTCCTGCAATTCTAAAGTTTTGAAAAGCCTTCAAAAGTACAAACTGCATTTCTTTACTAAACACTGCACTTCAGCTACTATAGTTTATTCATTCAATGTTGTTGGAAAATCGATGCTACACAAAAGTCAGATGAAACTAGAAAGCAAGCATAAACGATTCTGTTTCCGCTTGTTGATTTCAGTAGTAAATGATTTCTTAGGAATGATTGTTCTTGACTGAACATGAAAGACGAGCAACAACAGTTTTCTATTTGCTTGCTAACAGTGATAGACAAAACAGAAGAGACAATTCAATTTTTTAATAATTGTATTTCTAACCATTGAAGTAATGATGGTTTGATAAGGAAGGTAGGGGAGAAGAAGGGAAAGGAGAGGAAAAAGAGTCGGGGATGAAAGGACAAAAGTGACACCTTTCTTGAATACTTCAAGACAAAAAAATGAAAATTTATTTTTGTTGCTTTACTTATCGTTGTGACAAAAATAAAAATAAAAAAAAAAAGTAAGGAGAGGAACAACAATTTTTGATAAAAATTTTGTTTCTTTTTTCTCAAATTATTTGAAATTCTAAATGTAATACTGCTGACTGAAGAAAATCATAAGGATATTTTAATGATGATAACGAATTAAAATATTCTCTTATCAACTTTTATTAATTTTTAGCATTACAAGCAGAAAAAACTATTCTGTGATACAGAGTTGAGCCAAAAAAAAAAAAGAAGAAATAGAACTAATTAACTTCTTAAATTTTTGTATTAAGAACAAATAATTTGTGCTCAAATTTATATATATTATAAAAAATTTGTTTTTTTTTTTTGTCTATTAATATTACAGAGTGTTACGCGTCATCAAAATATTTTCTTTTTTGTATCACTTTATAATACCACTGATTATCTGACAGTTATTGCTGTTTTTCATGTGTTTTCAAACAACTGTTACTGAACCTTAGAAAATATAAAAATGATCCAGGGTTATTTGTTCAGCATCTGTTAACTGCTTCATCGGTGCCAAAATTGTAACTATTGGACGATGGTTGATTGTGAAGATAACAGGAAATAGTATTTAGTATTGTGATATAGTATTTTTTGCAGTTTGATATTTTTCCGAAGAATTTTTTAAGTAACAAACTATGTGACATAAAGTCCGATATTTAAGAGTAAAAAAAGATGCAGTGAAAATTAATCTGTTACAATGTTTCAACCACTTCTTATACAAAATTACGCACATAGACAACAGTTACACACACACACACAAATCGCTCGTAGTTTTCCTAACATATGTTGTTTAGTTACTGTTTCATACTGATAATGACACTTAAGTCATATAGATATTAATTGAATTATAAAAAATTATAGCAACAAATAACTTTTTGTTGTTGATTGCAAAACACCAATTCCATACAGAAAACAACTGTAGAAGTCATACAGCTTAATGCTCCTCAAACAGCAACTGACAACACTGTGCCAGTTGTCGTCAGAAACGGTTAACTTACAACTGTTTAA